TATTATATGTATCTAGTATTTTATAAATTTAATAAAGATCATGCAAAACTGCCGCACTAAAAAAAAAAAAAAAAAAATTCGCCAGAATATAATTCAAGATTTGGGCTTTAAAAAAAATACAAGATCATGTTTCTAGCATTTGTGATTGATGAGTTATAGCCGTTTAAAGGTAACCAATCACACTTGCGTTTCTTTTGTGGACCACTGTATATGTTTCAATAAAAATATACTTAAATATAATAAAATAATAAAAATAATATAAACTATAAAAGTAATAAAAAGAAATAAAGTAAATTACAGATGTTAAAAAAATTACAGGCGAAACAGAATAAATAGAATAAATAGATTATACAAAAAATACAAAAAAAACAAGCGAATAAGGTAAATTTTGTAAATTCTTCAAATTAAATAAATTAGCCTGATTTTTCAATGCAATATATCAATCAAGATCTTTCTTAATATGATCTATATAAAATTAAATCTAATGACTTTGTAAATCATTTTTTTAGGGCAAATTTTTAACGCTGACAATCCTCCTTTCATTTAATTTTAAAAGTTGTATGATGCAAATCATCTAAAAGGCAAACAGTTTGAATTTTTTTTTTGCTGATCATAATAGATCACATGATTTTATCCAGTTACATAAATAAATTATCATACATTTTCAGGAATTTTTCTGTATGATTTATATTTTTTAACAGCATATTCTGCTAATTTATCTGTAATCTTATATTTATATAAATTCATATATTGCCATGTCTTTCTTGCAAATCTATGAATAGTTATTAAATCTACAGAATCTAAAGCATAAGAAACTATCTTTTGTAATCCATTCCATGTGTAATTACAATTATTTTGTATATATAATTTGGTTGCTTTCCAATAGCATTTAATGAAATTTAATTCATAATGAAACTTTGGAAAAAATATACAAACAATATCAGCATTTTCAATTGTTTCAACTAATATAATAAAATATTAGATATTAGTTAAATTAAAATCATTTGATTATAAAAATTATAAGATCAAAAATTTTATTTTCTTTATTCATATTTTACCATATCTTCTAAAAAAACATATTACATTGTCTATAAGACAAAAACAAGAACTTTGTTTTAAAAAAGTTAATAATCTATTTATATTAAATATAGAACTTATTGACTATTATAATGTCAAATCCAATAAAGTTAGTGATATTTTAAAAAGGAAATCTGAATATTTATCTATTTTCAATTCTGAGCAGAATAGAAAAAGACTTAGAAAACCAATGTATAAAGAGATAGATAAAACAGTTAGTATTTAGATATCTCAGTTTTTATTTGTAAATTAAACATTACGTAAAGATGTATTACAATAAAATGCTAAATAATTTGCAGATAAATTTGGTATTACAGGATTTAATGTTTCTGTAGGTTGGCTATCTAATTTTAAAAGAGAAATAATTTTTGAATGTATGTTAAATCAGGTAAGGCTGGTAGTGCATCTGATAAAAAACAAATTAATGAGTATTAAACAATTATTGCTGAAAAATTATATGAATATAATCTGCAAGATATTTACAATTATGATGAAACAGGTAATTTGAACTTTAATTATATATATTATTTTTTATTTTTTAATCAAATTTAATTAAATATTTTGATTTTATTTAGCTCTTTTTTGGTAACTAGAACCTTTAAAAATACTTGCATAAAGTTCTGTAATTGGAATCAAAAAATCTAAAAATAGAATTAACATTTTGCTAATATATAATGCCACAGGAGATGATAAACTTAAGCCATTATTTATATATAAGTATAAAAATCCTTAGCCTTTTCGTGATATATCTATTAAAAATTATGTAGATTATTACTAGAATAAAACTGTATAGATGTAACAGTCAATTTGGTTAGACTATTTAAAAAACTTAAATAGTTTGATGTGTGCTAAAGAAAAAAAATTCTTTTATTAGTAAATAATGCTCCTACTCATGGAAAAGAAGAAGAAGTTCCTTCTTTTAGTAATATTGAATTGTTTTATCTACCACTAAATACTTGTATATTACATTTATAGCCTTTAAATACAGGAATAATTAATTCATTCAAAGCTAAATATCAAAAGTTTTTAGTAAAAAACAGAGTTGAAGCATATGATTTAGCATAAGAATTAAATAATAAAACAGCTTCAGTTACAATTTGCAATGCAATTGATTTTATTATAGAAACATGAGATCAAGTTGAATCTGCTACAATTAAAAATTGCTAGAAAAAGACCAGAATTCTTCTATTTAAAAATAATGAATTAGATGAAGAGGATAATGCTAATTCTATTGCTAAATTAATTAAAGAGAGAAACAAAGAGATTTAGAAGACATAATGAGCAAATTACCATTTGATAATCTTTTATCTGCATTTAATTATATAAATGCTGATGAATTAAATAATGATGATGTATGTTTATTAGATGATGAAATTGTTGAAATAGTGAGGCCAAATCCAAATACAGATGATTTACAAGATAATGACAAAATTATTCCTACTATTTCTTTAACGAAAGCATTGATTAATATAAAAAATCTGATAAATTTTCATAATTTTCCACCAGAAAATTTTGAAGTGACTAATAAAGAATTGAAAATTTTAAAGATTATTAGATGCAAAGTATTGAGATATAAATCAAAATTGTTAATCCAATTAAATATAGATGAATTTATTAGTTTTGATTAGATTTCTTTTTTTGTTCTCAAATTTTACAAATAATTATAAAAAGAAATAATAAAGTATATAATAATTATATAAATAAATAATAAAAATAGTAATAAAAATTTGATATAATGAAATTTTATTTTTTTTACTATTTAAATCAATATATTAAGAAAAACTCATCTTTTTGAATTTTTATTATAATGAATCAAAATTACTAAACTAAAAGATTCGTTATATCGAGTTCTGACTGTATAGACAAAATATTGTATATAGATATTTTAATGATAATAATAAAAATACTTAAGGAATATCTCTTTTTAATAATGCAAATAATTTAGAAAGTAAATGAATATCAGATAAAATATCTTAATAGGTTACTTTTAATACAAATAATAGAAAAAGATCTTCATTCCTATAGAATAGAAAACAGTTAATAACCAGTAATTATAATTATACTTTATAACTAGTTAACTAGAAAGTATCTTTATATTTAATAATTTTTCACAAGCTCAACTATTCTAATACAGTTTGATATTTGATCCTTTTGCTTTAATTAATCCATTTTGATAAACTGCTAGTTCATTCATAAGCTCTAACTTTATAACTGTAAATTAACAATCTATAGATCATAATTGATTTGAAAATTTTGAAAATGATCTAAATAATAGAGAAAGTAATATTTCTATATCCTAACTCTAAACCATGTGATACTAACCTATGTGACAAATAGGAGTTCACCTCAGAATATATATGAAAATGGAAAAAGGAGGGGATGTGACACGGGTGGCAAAAAAGAGACGATGATATCGCACTTTGCGATGAATAAATTTACTCTATTTGTAATTATTACAATATTAAAATTATTTATTTATTTGTGGTTTAAACTCTTGTTAGGAGTTAGAAGTTGAAATTACTATTAAACAATTTTAATAATGTAATAATTAAAAAATGTAGTTGCAACTAACTGTAATTGTAAGAAACAAAAGATTAAAGATTTAAGGGATATTAAGCGATCGTTAACCGGTCCTTACGAGTTAAGAGATTACAAAGTCGAGAAGTCTAATCACTTATCAATAAATTTGTAAAATTGGGCAATATTATGGGACCGCTAAGTATGAGACCCGGTCCTAAATCCTAAAATTGTAATTCTTAAGAAATTCTGGGTTTATTATTTACTTTATTAACTAGCTTATTAAACATTATAATAGACAAGTTTTATAATAAATAATTATTTGAAATTTCCTTTAGACTTCTAGGATCTATAAAATACAAAGGTATTAATTATTTATTTTGATAAAAATATCACGTGAATTTTTTGATGGGTTCGAAATATAAAGCATTTAAGAAATGACAGGTGATGATGGTAATGGCTGGAACGTTCCACATTTTAAGTGTTTATGTATATACGGATATTTAAAAAAATTTATTTTTTTTGAATGAAAATTTTAAAATGAGCGAATATGTATATATGTAAATAATAACGTGTAAAAATACAAATAAATTTACAAAAGTTCGTAAGTTTAATCCATTATACAGATATTTTCAGATGCTAATCCATTCATTATTATTATTACTATTGTGTTCATTTTTGTTATTCGTATTTACCATATTGACTTCACTGTTGTCACTTTGTTCTTCAAATATTATTTCATCATCCCCTTTCGCACTTATAACACCATCATCCTCTTCATGTGTTATATCTTTGAAATCCTCTACATCTTCATCTACATCATCAATTGTCTCAATAATTATAGAAGGTGACATGTCACTCACAGATCTATCACTAATCGAAACATCACTCAAGGATTTTTTTCTTGACCATGATCCTGGAATAGGACATGCATTTAATATTGTGAATAATGGGTATTGTGAATTCATCTCCTAAAGAAATGATAAATTAATATAATATAGACATTATAAGCATTAATATACAATATAATTAATCATTTATATTTACTCTTTCGACTCGACCACATAATTGATCGAAATCTTGGGAACTTTGACATAAAAATCCCAACAACATCGAAGGATCCATTTCCGATATATCCATTGTCCTAACAATAGTAGAATGGTAATCCTATAAAATAAAAAAAATATTTTAAAATTTTAAATTACGTACAAGTGTGTGTATGATTATATATTACCTCGATTGGAAATTCTGTAATTTTATTGAGATTTATAGCAGGTCGTACAAAATGAGGATCAAGATACAATAACTCATCATCTAAGAAATAAAGGACGACGAATCAATAAAATTTTAAATAGAATTAGATAATCCAAAAAGATTAGATCAATCTACCTTGAAACGCTACAAAATACAATGATCTACCGGGTCTACCGCCAGAAATTCCCAAAAATTGAGGGAACTTAAACAATAACTTAAAAAAATTCGAAAAAAAAAAAAGTTAATAACGAATTTATATAGGATCCTTTCTCATTTACTTTCAACCATATGGGATGATTACTAACAATACCAGATTCTGGGATTTTTAACCAAATTGAAATTTTATTGCATTCTAGTTTTTTGATTAAAATACAATAAGGTTGTAATTTTGTCGGGGGGAAAAAAAAATCTCAGAACCTTGATGTTCCTAGCAATCATCTCATTTATTACCATGAAATATACCTTTAAATTATCTGAATAACTTGGATTAAGTTTATCTGTTCCCAACCTAATTTAAAATAACTATATGTTTAAAAATAACCAAAATAATTGAAATTCGAGAAATTTTTTTTTTAAAAAAAAAAACCTTACCTTATAGAAAGCAAAATGAGAACCGGCTTCCACGGTTTTTGATCAGGAATAGCGTCACAACTTTCCATAGCAGCATTAACAACTTCACTACGATAAATTGTATTATCTGTTGGCACGTAAATAACCAATGGACACTCTTTATGAGCCATTGATAATCGCCTAGTAAATAATAAGAAAAAAAATATTAGATATAAATTTACATTCCGAAATTGAAAAATATCTAAAAATAATCACTTCAATGCATGAGCCACTGTGGCCGGCCCAAACCAATCACCGATTTTTTTATCCAATGAAACCCCTACACGGGCAATATTATGGATAGAATAATATTGTTCTGATTCAGGTCCATCCATAAACCAACGCAAAATCTAATGTTTAGCATTTTAAATAAGTTATATAATAAAATAATACATAATAAGATCCATCATCAGAAAACTTTCGACAATATCCTCAAAATACCTTTCTATATATTAATATATCAGATTCTGTCTGTAGATTGTGTAACCGCCAGTCTAAAAATATTTAAAGAAAAATTTTCCATTTTAAAATTTTTTTAATAATTTGCAATTTTTAACAATTTATAATTACCTCTTCCCAATAAAACCCATAAAAATCCTTGTGCTAATAAACTTTGACCAGTTCTATGCATACAACCCCAACCTGTATCTGTGGTATGAAATGCGGGTTCAATTGGAGGAAATTCTTTTCGATAACAACAAAATATCCTTGACTGAAAATCCAACAAGAAATCTAATAACTTTTGCTGGTCATTAGTTAATGGTCCAAGCGAATCAGGCCTATATAAACTTGTTGGAGTTGGAGGTAAAGATCTTACTGAACCTGAAGACCTTACTGATCCTGTTTCTGTTTTTTGAGAACCCCACATATCTGTTTGAATTGATATCATTGACCGATCATTTTGTAAATTATTTGAGACATCTTTAGAAATGTCAATGTCTTTAGGTAAATCATTATTATTTTTAGATGTATAAACTCCAAGATAATCTGATGACTTCATTGATTCACGTGTCACAGTTTCAACAGAAATATTGTCGCCAGACAATGCTTCTACATCTAATTCTCCAGGTTTAGATATTGTTTCACTACTATTACTTTCTTCTTCTGAACTAAAACATAAGTCTTCAGGACATATGACTTCTCTATTTTTTCTTGAGACATCTATATCTTCAAAACTTGTTCGTTTTAATCCTGAATCATGTGAAAATTTTGATTCATAATCTGTTTCTGTTTCCAAATGTGGATAAAGCTGTGGTATTGGTAAGGAACTACTATATTTATTCTTTTCTCTACCAGAGAACCTTGCGCCAAAAGTCTTTCTTCTATGCTTTTTAGATTTTGGTGAAAGATTACCTTGAACCTGTGAATTGGGACTTGAATTTTCTTGGTGGTTCGATGATGAATTTGAACCAATTGAAAATGAACGTAAAAAACTTGGACTCATAGAAAATCGTCGAGCATTTTGCGATTGATTAGAATTGTTCGTTCGAGACACTGATGTCGATACCACATCTTTTTGCAAATTAGACGTTGATTCATAATTTAATGAATCAGACAACTCTTGTTTTTTACTAGAAGAAAGTGGCCTTATTCTTGACTTTAGCATAATACGATTTTCATTTTTTGGAGGGGAAGATTCTGGAGTAGGTGTTTTTTGATCCGATGATTTATAAGAAAATGAAAATGACCTTAATCGCTTAATTACATTTTGACTACCAGAAGGTGAAATAGATTTTCCCTTTTGTCCCAATTGTTGCGATTGATGTTGCTGTTGCTGTTGCTGCTGTTGTTGTTGCCGTTGTTGCTGGGAATAATTTTCATGTGAAAATGAACGTGACTTGCCAAAATTATGTGTACGAATCAAATCATCACTATGGTGGCGTTCGTGGATACTTGGTACATCATTATAATCTTCATCTTCTTCCGATGAACCGAACATTATAAAATTCAATAAAGATGACGCCCGGCCGCCTCGAGCATGCTCTCCTCTGTCGGGTTTCGGAAGATTGATCGTTCCGCCGTCCTCTAAGAGGCATACATATTTACAAAATTGACTTGATCCAATTATACATAAAATCAAGAATCGTGAACATTCTATCAGGAGATCTTTAATTTTACCTGTAAATTTATATTCTACTCCAAGCATCCATATTGGATTCGATGAATAATTATGTTTTACTCTGGATCTTTCGTCTGATTTCATGTACTGAACGAATCTCGTATTATAAAACCAATGTCTTTTTCGAGTTATTGTTATGTATGAAAAAGTGATAAATAAAACAATTCCCAATTATTATTTTTTTTTTTTTTAAAAAATAAAGGAGGTTTATTTATTAGAAAGGATAAAGGAAAAAAAAAAAAATTTCAGTTAAAAATTGTTATCCGGATACATTGTTAATTTTCCGTTTAGGGATCAGGCAAACCTTAAAAAATTTTTCATTCCAAATATAAACATTTGAATGCAATGGTAAAGGATAAAGTTATTGAATCGAATCAATATCAACTAACCCAACTTTTTGTAAAAGCTCTGTTGAAGGATTCTTTGGTACATCATGTTCATTTATTTCTCCTTCATTTATTTCTTCTAGCGGTGAACTAGGTGTAAAAGGACTTTGAGCAGTTGAAGAAGAAGATTCTTCAGCAGGTAAAGAATCAACAGAAAAATCATCAACACTATCCCATTCCTCCGTTTGTCCTGTTGTTGTTATTGTTGTCGTTGACATTGTTGGAGGTAACGATGGAGTAAGAATTCTTATTGCAGGCGTAGTATTAGTAGTATTATTATTAGGTGGTGTTGACATTGCTAACTTTTGTTGTAAGTTATGTAACCAGTAATATACTAATAAGAAAATAAAATTACTTTGTAAATAGGTAAAGTTCAAAATAATCTAATTTTCTTGAGGAAAAACAAAGTAAATCTCAACACACTCTTCATTATTAAAAATTGATTTCTATCATAAAGTCTAAAATAGGTAAACCAAAGGAGGACATCAAGAAAAAGGAGGAAAAATAGTAGAAATAGAGTAACAATTGAACATTTTTTTTATTTGTAATAATGAAGTCATTAAATATAGGAATATTATGAAATAATTAGGTAGTCATTACTTCAACATGATACGAACATTACTCATAGATGAAGAAATAATTGCATAATTATTCTGTAATAAGGTAGAAATTAGTTTCTAAAAATCTTATAAATAGCCATCAGTTTTAACATGTAAAGTAGATAACTTTTTGAGATTGAAGTTTAGAGATAAAAACTTATAATTCTTAAGGAGTCACCTTTATTTATTTTAATAAAATAACTTTGAAATAAATAAATCTTTGAAGTTGTGATTTTAACACTCCCCTGATTTTGTTTATTTTATTTGTGGCAAGAATTCTTGTACAAATAAATCTTTAAAGTTGTAATTTCTGTATAAAAATATTAGAGGATAATCTCTTTTGTTGAAGTTTCTTTGACCAAGATACCCGCGTAGTATCTTTGGTAAATTTTGAAGTATTTTGAAGTTTAGAAGATAAGGTCAGTAAAGTCTTCATACTTTCTGACTTAGAAACTTAATTTGTGAAGGGACACCGAGACGAGATTTTAAAAGAAAGCACGTGAACCTCTTTCTCGACCTTGATTAAAGGAATTTAAGTAAAAAAAGACTCTCGCAATTGAAACTGAATTTTTGAGCTAAACTCAGCTGTTGCTCAATCGGTTAAGTATTTCAGTCCGCCTAACTGACAGTTGGGTAACAATATATTAATAAAATTAAATAAATAATAAAATATATATGTATATATATAAAATATGTAATATAATATAAAATTATATAATAATTATTATTTTAAAATAGATTATATTATTTATAAATAATAATTATTATATTTTTATTTTATTTTAATTTATTTTTTGATCTATTTTTTAAGTTATTATATTTAATTTAAATAATAAATTATTATAATTAATTTTATTTTATATAAATAATTTAAATTTATTTTAAATATTATTAATAAATAAATAATTATTTAAAAATTAATTAATTTTATTAATTAATTTAATAATAAATAAAATAAATAATTATATAAAATTTTTATAATAATAATTTTTAAAAAAAAATAAAATAAATTAATATTAAAAATCATATGGATTCTTTGCAATAGAAAGGAAGGAAACTACCAAAAAAATTTTTTTTGAGTTAATGTTAAATTTGAACTTATTTTATTAA